GTGTCTCCTCTGCCTCACAGTCTGTGCTTCATTAACTGCGAAATCAATACATTATTCATTCTTCCTCATCAAGTATGAATACCAATATCAGGGCCTCCATTTACCCATACAACGAACTTGGTGAACTAGGAAAGAGTGCCAGCGCCGATTCTTGAAACCAGGCCCTTTGCTGCCCTCTGCCGGAAGAATGTAGGAAGTGTACAAAGAGATTATGTCCCTGATATAATAAGGACCCCCTCCCCTCTTCCCCCCACCTCATCCTCCAACATCTCCACCCCAACTGCTGGCCGAAGGTGGGGTCTTTGCTCAGTGCACATCCCACACAACTATATTCAGAGGCCTTGATAACAATTTGTGTGTACATCACTTTACAGTTGGTAAAGCACTTTCTTCTGCATTTTTCCATTTAATCCTCAAATTGGTATTCTTCAGCCCATTTTACAGATTCAATTAGAGCATAAGAGACTTACATGACCTAAAATCAACCCAAGTTCTTTGTTCTTTACGCTGAAAAAATACCCCCTGGTCTTTTTAGGAAACACAAGTAGGAGGCAAGAGTCCAGACAGACACTGACAGTTGTCTATCAGATCAGCTTCTCCTGCCTCCATAGCCCTGAAATAAACCCCCCCACTTATGGCTGTGACTTCCACCCTGGCTGTGACTTATGACTTAGCGCAGTGTCTCTGTGCTTTTATGTGTCATATGATGTGGAGGCTTGTTGAGGCATTTCTTTTTATATATATATATGCAACATGTATTTAATAATTTTATACATGCCATTTAATTTTTTTTAATTGAAGTATGGTTGATGCTATGTAGTATGTTATAAAAGTTACAGGTGTACAGTATAGTGATTCACAAATTTTTTAAGTTTATAGTCCATTTATAGTTATGATAAATATTCCCCATATTGTTAACATATGTGTGTCACTTATTTCATACCTAATAGCTTATGTCAAGGAGTGTTCTGCCTGTTCTCGTCTAAGAGTTTTATAATATCTGATCTCACATTTAGGTCTTTAATCAACTTTGAGTTTATTTTTGTATATGTTGTTAGAGAATGTTCTAATTTCATTCTTTTACATGTAGCTGTCTACTTTTCCCAGCACCACTTATAGAAAATAAGTGTTGTCTTTTCTCTATGGTTTATTCTTACCTCCTTTGTCATAGGTTAATTGGCCATAAGTGGGTGGGTTTATTTCTGGGTTCTCTATTCTGTTCCATTGATCTGTGTGTCTGGTTTTGTGCCAGAACCATACTGTTTTGATTAATGTAGCTTTGTAGTATAGTTTAAAAGTCAGAGACTGTGATTCCTCCAGCTCCACTCTTCTTTTTTTTTTTTTTTTTTGAGATTAAAGATTTGGCTATTTGTAGGGTCTTTTGTGTTTCCATACAAATTTTAAAATTATTTGTTCTAGTTCTGTGAAAACTGACAGATGGGATTTTGATGGGAATTGCATTGAATCTACAGATTGCCTTGGGTAATATGGTCATTTTTGACAATATTGATTCTTCCAATTCAAGAACACAGTATATCTTTCCATCTGTTTTTGTCATCTTCAATTTCTTTCATCAGTCTTAACAGTTTTCATAGTATAGGTCTTTTACCTTTTTAGGTAGGTTTATTCCTAGGTATTTTATTCTTTTTGATGTGCTGGTAAACGGGATTGTTTCCTTAATTTCTCTTTCTGATAGTTCATTGTTAGTGCATAGAAATGCAACAGATTTCTGTATATTAATTTTACATCCTGCAAGTTTACTGAACTTACTGATGAGTTCTAGTAGTTTCCTGGTGGTTGTTGAGGCATTTCTGATGGTGTGGAAAGAGCGCTAGCATGTCTGGATTCCAATGCCAGCTCCACCTCATACAGCGTGGTGGCCATGAGGAATTCTCTCTCCAAGTCTGAGCCTGAGTCCCCCACCTGTAAAATGAGGATCCTCACCTTTGCCTTCCCTTTGTCACAGGTTCTTGTGAAAATAAACAACACCGTGTGTGCTGCTTTCACTATTTCCTTAACTAGTGCTTTTCCTCCAGCCGCTCCATCTCCATCGCTCCATGTGCCCTTCGTGTACGGATCAGAGAGCTCCAGGTCTTTCCACAGGCCATGTCTTTCCAGCCATCGTTTTCTCCTCGTGCCTCTTCCCTATGTGCTGTAAGGATTCCTGGGGTTAGTCTTCCAGATCACAAATTGGGTTTTTTTCATTCTGCTCTTCGTAGTCTCTGTTATGCTTTTCTTTTCATTTCCTCCAGCAGGCTTTCCATCTCCATGAACTCCCTGTCCTTTACTTGTGTGCTTCTCCGAGGGGGCTTCTCATGTTTGCTCACATTTACAAGTGACCTAGGAGATGCTGGAGAACTCCACGCGGGCCATGCCCCTCGGGCTTCCACCCGGAAAGCCCTGTTTGCTGGGATGAGGGATGAGACTGAACCAAATGCAGGATTAGTGGAAAAGATCAGAAAGCTGTCTCCCTCCCTTAGGGGCAGGGTGCTGGCTTTGGTAGTACTTCAGAAACAAGGTCGCTCCTGACTCGGTGAGCTGCCTGCACCAGATAAAAGAGGAGGTGCTGCCTCTGCCCACGACTCTGCACCCAAGACTTGCGCCGCCCACAGCTCCCACATGCACCTGTGGACACGTTGGGGATGTCTGTGTCCACTGGACCTGTATCTACATAAGGAGTTGGGGAAGGCAGTTCCTTTGCACAGAGACCTACGGAGGGTCCCTGTGGCCATCCTAATCCCCCTCTGGATTTGCAGTACCGGGTCACCTGTCACCCAAGGTCAGAAGCTGTCGTGGCAAATCCCCCACTCAGCTTGGACGACAACAGCAGACGCCTATGTAAGTTCGCTAGTAAATTGCAGGGCCAGGATCACAAGCCCACCCGGTCTGGCTCCCAAGGCTGTGCTCTCATCCACTGGGTCATACGTAGTGGGCAGAGCCTGGAGACGAGTGTTGGAGCCGGTCACTCCATGCAAAAGCACCCAAAGTTCTTGCCAGCCCTTCACTCCTGCTTCCCTTGCTACAGCCCCTGCTCCGCCAAGGCTGGGCATCCTCTGGGGTTCTGTTGGAGGCAACTACCCCCTCACTTCCTGTTTCTCATCGGACTCTACTTAGTTCATACCTTTCCAAGGTAACGAATGGTTTCTTTCCCGTTGATGCTGTTCTGTTCTTTTTCCAATGATGCTCTTGCTTTTTCATGTATTTTCGTTTGGCTCTTTCCATAAGTGTTTGAGGCAAGGGAGAGAGTTGGACTAGATATTCCCCTAGTCTCATTGCAGATGCAACATCCTGTGTAACTCCACACAAGACTTGGAGAGCCCTTGTCCCTAAGAAACAGCTCCTGCAGTCTGTCTTTAATGAATTCATCCACAGTGCTGCTGAGGTGGGGGCGGGGGGGGGTGGGAGGGCAGGAGCTGCTGGTGTTTATTTTAACCCTTTTACAGTTGCTTCTCCTGAATCAGAACCCAGATCCCTACCCAGGGCTTCCAAGTTGCCAAATCTTTCCACAGACAATGTGCAGACTAGTTTAGAGCTCTCCAAAATTTTCTTTGACTCAGAAAAAAATAGGGAAGCAACCAAATGAAAAGGAGCAGCAAACAGTGAAGACGGACACTGTCCCCGCAGTGCTAACTGCCTCACTCACCCCTGCCTTGGTTAGAATAAGGCAGTACAATGATGGACGAAAACCTTCTCTCCAGCTACACAAATGCGAAGAAATATTTTGGGTAGGCAACTTCCATCAGCACAGAGGGCTAACTAAGCAGGCTGCTGATGGAATAAAGGAACATTAGGTGATCAGTTTATACACAGTCACCGAAGAAGCACAATACGTTTTATTAAATTATTTTATTTGATGTATAGTGTTGGCGGTGGTAGTTTTATTAATTAGAGATCCTCTGTACACGTATCTACAGTGCCACTCAAAATGGAAGACTTCGTGCAGATTAACCAGAGAATGCTCCCCAATGCCACTTACGTTTTTATGTTTATTACTATTATCAGAATTCGTGGGAAGGAAAATTCACAAGGGACGTAGAAGGAAGGCTGAGGAATACTGATTTGTTTTTTTTTCTACCTTCAGAAAAACCCAAAGAAGACAGTCTGGATTTTCACGCTCCTAAACTTCCTGTGACCTGTGGGAAGGCAAAAGGGATTTTATATAAAGAAAAAATGAAACAAGGTTAGTTCCTTGACCTTCTGCTCTTCAGAACCCCTCAGTGAAGGAATTCCTAGAAGGGAAGAAAATACCCACGTGTGTAACTTGTTCAGGACGTGGACCCCGCGAGCTAGGCAGCAGGAAAAGCAGTGCTTGTTAAAAAGGAATTTTCAGAGATTTTAATGTCATGGGACACCTAGTGACCAGGCACCTCCACTCCATGTCCTTGCCACATAAAATGCAAATTCTCTCCCAAGCCCTCACGCCTCAGGCAGGTTTTAGGGCTTCCTTCAGTCTGAGGGGGGGAATCAGACTCCCCTGCTCCTAGCGGACACGGAGTCTCTGGACCCGGAAAGGCGGGGTGCCCTAAGTAGCGATGTGGAGGTTTAGGGTCAATTCACAGAGAATGGACGTGGATCCTGGAATGGACTGTCTTTATCTCACAGGATCCTCAGAGAAGTGCATTCAGAATGAAAAGGGAGTTTGGTTCACACCCAGAGAATTTGAAATGGAAGGAAACGGGCACAGTCCAGATACTGGAAGCGGAGTGTGCTTTGCGGAGGAAAGAGCTTAGAACAGCTGATGAAGGTACTGTAATGACAAGGGGCAAATAGGTGACGGGTTTCATTCCCTGAAGGATGAGTGGAATTTCAATAACAGAAGTGTGAGGAAATTCCCATTAGGATTCCACAGCATGATTAAGAAAGAGCTAAACGGTCATAGGAAAACATTGTGGGTGAGAAAGTGAGGAACACAGATTGGTGCTGATGGTGGAGAACTTTAAATGCAGGCAAAGGGTTTTGAGGTAGGAGGGATTTAAGAGGCTTAGTCTGGTGGTGTTGGAGGGGGTGGGCTGGAAGGAAACTAGATGAAGACATAGACCTCGGTAATCACTTCCCTGTGTCCTTCACCCAATAAATGCCTCCTCAAGACCACACTCCATCTGGGCCCCTTGGTGAAGCATTTCCAGACCACACTGTCCATGGTCAGTCCCTCCGCTGCCCTTCCCGGCTCCACCTTGTGAGTAGTAAACAAGGTACTAGGTCTTTGTGATCCAGAACCCAACACAAAGCCTCTCCAGAACACTCCAAAAAATGATCACAGGGATGAAATCATAAGAATATTATCTAGAGAAGAAGAAGTGGGAAGGGAAAAGAGTAGGTGGGAAAGGCACTGAGAAAGAAGAACAGGTCTTGGGTTAGAGTAACAGGGGAAGAATGAAGTCCAGAAGAAGAACCGGTTGGATCAGGGAGTTAATTTTCCTTCTAGACACCTCAAGTTGGAGACCTAGTAGGCTGTCCAGGTGCAAATATTCACCAGGTGGAAACGTGGATATTTACAAAAGAAGAGCCTCCAGAGCAACCTCATTCATTGACCCCCTTCTCTCTTCCCAGAATGGACTTTTGCTCTGTCCTCCAAGAAGTCTCAAGAGAGAGGTAAATAGCAGGTGAATTTCTACCACGTTCTCAGTCACCATGTTACAGACCTTCCATGTCCCAAGGCTTGCCCATGGGTCCTCCTTCCCAGCCCTGAGTCGCCTTCACAGCTCGGCACTGCATCTTCATGACGACTACTTTAGTGCGTTGGTATCTAGCCTCTGTTATTTTCATAGTTAATTTAAGGTGGGAAGCTAATAACTCTTCAAAATAAAGGCTAGGACCAAATTATGTGTTTTAGGAAAAGATCTGTATATTTGGATGATTACCAACCAAAGGTGTCAGAAATAGAGTGCTCTAGTTTGAAAGTAAATATGGTATTGAAATAAACAAGAACAGTATGAGAAAGAGTAAGAGCATCCTTGATTGAACTCCAAGGATCCCTCAATTCAACATGCTCACTATCAATAGCATCAGAATAGAATGTGTTTGAACTGCGCTTTGTCTCTGCAGAGGTTCCCTCCAGGTGAAGATGGCAGTCATCCGTTGGCTGTACCCCCTGCTCCTCCTCCGCCTTTTTCACGTGCTTAGTTGTGTCTTCCAGACCCGAGTCCCATTCATGAATTCCCATTAGATGTGAATCTCCAGCAGAGGCAATGGCACCTCTCCCATCTTGCCCTGGAGGTTGGCCTGACACTTGGCTGGATTCATTAAAAATTCATAAGGCAATGGTTCCCCAAAGCTGTTGATTGTGTAAAATTGTCTTTTCCATGCTGATTTGAAATACTTTGATATGTTTAGGGAGGTTCCTTGTAATAGCAAAACAATAGGGAAGAACACAAATGTCCATCAGTATTATAAAATAAACTGATACAAGAGAGTGATACTTTTGAAAAAGGCATGATTTGCAGATAGAGACCCATCCTCCAGTCAATGGAAAACCACCCATGGGTCTTGAAGTCAGGAAAGCTTCAGGAAACTTAAACTGGTAATAATAATAAACAAAAGGAGCCCAATTTTGTTTATGCAAATATATAAGGCTATGATTGAAAAAATATCTGAAAGAACTGGTTATTCTGGGGTGAGATTATAGGCGGCCTTCGCCTTCCATATTATATATTTATGTACAGGCGGCATTTTGACAATGACCATTTATTACCTTTGTAACCAGAAAAAAAATAAAGATATTTAAAATCCAGATCATTAATCAACGGCCCCAGTATTATAGTTGCTTCTTACTCATAATACCCCATGTCAGCAAATGATAGCCAGGAGCACACTTGACCTGACGTTTCAGTGTCCCCTGTCAGGGGCCACACTGGGATAAAGAAAGCACAGTTTAGTTCTGATTACAAATGGACCAGTGCAGGACTTTCCTCCAGCAACGTGATCCAACACATCACTGTCGCTCTGCAGTACACCCGACCTCCCCTGGCGTCTAGCTCTGCAAGAGACCTGAGGCTGACACTACAAACATGTGTTTTGTGGCTGCCCTGCGGGGTGCTGCTCCCACAACCCAAAACAAAATGGGCAGCTGGTGCAGAGGGTCACGGGCTCAGGGCCTGGGGAGCCTCCATCTCCAGCAGGGCCCAGAATGCAGGCAGCAGTCGCTATGCTAATGACATATAGTGTAAAACTCTTAGATTTTGCTTTTCTGAATTTGTTTGTTTGTTTTATTTTTTGGCCAAATTCTAGAGCCTTTTGTTGAGGGGTTCTCGTTCAAAGTAGGCTGATTTGCAGCTAACAGTTTAAATGGATATAAGTAAAATCTGTAAATGAGAAATCCGTTACCTTCAGAGCTCAGGAGGCCTGAGAGATGTTGGGCAGTTGTTGCGGGACTGAGTATTGAGCGGGTCCATGATTGCTTCTTGACAGTGTCAGGGATGGAGCGGCTCTCAACTGACCAAACAATGCCCAGAAATTTGATGAGCTGGTAGGGCCTAGTCCTATGTGTAGGGGGCTGACCCTCCCTTTTTCGTGAGTTGCTCTCTGAGTAACTGTATATTCTGAATCAGTATGTCAAACGAGAAGGCTGCCTTCCGCATGGTGTCATGCTTGCGCTCCTGGTGGGGGAAGTCGGATGCAGTTAAGAACTTGCCTGCAGAGATCGTGTGTGATGGCAAAGCTGTTGAGGTACCCTCTGGTGCCCAGCTAAAGGTCTGTTGATCCCTGCAAAGGTGAGGCCGGCTGCAGCTGTTGAAATGGGCACTGAACAGAACAGATGAGCCGAATCCGTAACAGCAAAGCGTTTACCCGTTGCTGAGTGGATGGCTCCAGTAATGCAATTATATTAGGTATAGGGACTTTAATGGGTGGGGCTCCTTTGTGAATAATTGTATCTCATTAAATTTAAGCCAAGTACCCACTATCCTCTTAGGGGAGTTACCAAACATAAATTAGAGGACAAACAATTGTACCTCACCTTAACCACAGAAACTATTGCCTCACCTAAATGCCCAGGGTCATAACATGCATTGCCCTAAATTATCTTGTAGTGAGCGTGGGTGTTCTGACCCGGCAAATAAGGAAATGAAACAAAATTAAATCTTTGACACTTAAAATCGGCTTTACAAAATGGAACTCATGAAGCTTCCCCTCTTAAAATAGTTAATGGAACCCAGTATAAATTAAAACAGGGCCTTCAAGGATAGAGACTTATATAAAGTCTGCTTAGAGCAGGAGTGATTATCTCTCCTTTTTTTCCATTTAACTGCCCGATTTGACCTGTTCTTAAACTTGGAAAGGATGAAGGGTGCCTCATGGTGGATGACTGCCACCGCAGTGCGTGGCCCAGCAGGCAGCAACGTGACTCAAAGTGTAAGTCATCGGGGAGCAGAACCAGTTAGCAAACTAAAGCAGGAGAAGAAAGACCCTTGGGGGCATGGTCAGCCAGACCCCTGCCTACTAACCCAATTGTCTTGTGGTTGCCTGACGGGAAGTGAGATCAGCCTCCCGCCAAAAATTGGGTTCGGATACTGAAATCAATGATGCACCACATGTACCGAGAATGAAAGATTTATTACACACACACAGAGACTTTCCGGGCAGGGCAGGGCAGGCACCCAAGCAAAGAGAGGGCGTAGGCCAAGGTTTTATTATGGTTGGGGATGGGGCCAAGGTGGGGTGGGTCTGTCTGGTTTGCACTTCTCACTGCGGCCGAGGGAGGGAGCACATGAGCTTCTGGTCTCCTTGCCCAGATGTGGCAGGAGGCCAAGGGGTGGGGGTGTGGCTTGACGCCATCAGCAGTCAAGCATAAAAAGCAGAGTCAGGCTCTTTATTATGGAATGTGACTATGGGGTCGCATGTTCTTTCTCTGTCGTTTCTTTATCATATCATGTGTGCTGGAAACTTTCACTCCAGAGCATGGCAGGGGGGCAGTGGTGCTCAGGGCTCTGGACCCAATCAGGGTCTCAGCTAGGAGGAGGGGGCTGGGCTACCTGGGGAGTTGACATCTGTACCCTGGACCAGGGCGGGCCAGGTGCCCAGTCAGAGGGCAAGAATGGCCATAGGGTGTCAACCTCGAGGACAGAGGAAGGCAAACCGGCAAGTTCAGGATGGGAAGACCAAAAAGATCCCCTGAACTTCAGGGTCGGGGGAGCCCTCCTTATGAGACCCTGGGGCCTAGTAAGCGGATGGGGTGCTCAGGAAGCCTCCCAGTTAAGAGAGATGAACACTGTCCTCGATCAAGAAGAATTTGCACCCTGGCTGAGCGGCTAGTTTTGCAAACAGACAAAACATTTCCATCCCTTTTGCCCTTGCCCAGGTCCTCAGGTTTGTGCTATGGACTTGGGTAGTGGTGGGTGTCTCTCCTTAGATGTAACTGATTTCCAGCTCCTCCAAGTCTTTACCCCACCTCCTCATGGTTTATTTCCTGCCTTTTGACCACCCACCATCCATCTGGGGGGCACAGTACCACAGTCGGACGCAGGCAGAGGACCCCCCCTTCCTGACTCCTACCTCTCGTGCAGAGAAGATGTGCCCTCGTGTGCGTGGAGCCTCACGCTGTCTGGCTCGTGGGGCTGGGAACAGAACCAGGCTCTCCTGCCTGTGGGTCTTCATCCGGCAGTAAAGGTCGTGTTCCTCACGTAAATCACTAGTAGAATTTACTAGATTACATTTGAAGGCCACGAGAAAGACCCCTGTGGTTTCTCAGGCCCCCAAAACAGCCCATTTACACAGCAGCTCTGTGTATCTGTCTCTCCGCGCGTCAGCATAACATCAGGGCCCATCCTCTGAGTTGCCTGCACGCCGGCCCAGGACGGCACAGAGAGGGCGAGAGCAGCTCTCAGCCCGGGCCCGGGCCGCCTGGGTGCCAGTTGGCTCACGTACTAAGTTGCTTTCACTGGGGAAAAAAAAAAAGCATTCTTCCTTTCCAGGGCTGCAAAATGAGACGGTTGCCCAAAGCTGTGTTTCCTCCAATTTCATGTCCTGACAAACCCCCTGGGATCCTGTTAAAATGCACATTTCGATTCAGTAGGTCTAACCAGCTGATGCCGCTGGTCCTTAGACCACACTTGGTGCACAAAGGGCTCAAATGACCTTCCAGCCCATTCCGGCTCTGACAATCCATGGTTCAAATGGTGTCGTGACAGTCCTTGCCCTCTGCTCTTCCGAGATTCGAGGCCCAGCTGGGCCTCCACCAGCACCCCCGTGCGCACTGTGATTGGTCAGGCCCCAGGTGGCTGGTGGAAGCCACACACGGTGCTCCAGGGCCTGGCCGAGTCAGCATCCCTGGTTATTGCTGATCCCAATGGTGCCTGCATTATTTCCCCTTCGAGCAGGAAGACCCCAAGGAATGCATGGTGTGCTGCAGAGGGGGACTGCTGCTCTGCTGTGACACCTGTCCAAGGGCCTTCCATGAGAACTGTCACATCCCCCCCACGGAGGCAGAGAGGTTAGTGAGACACAGCCCTGTTGTGCACACACACTCCGCCCACACTCCGCCTCTTGGTCCCTTATCTCCAGCCGGAAGAGCGGGACCCGGGAGCGCAGTGCGACCCAGCGCAGCCCGATGGGGCAGCAGCCTGCGTTCCCTCTGCAGTCAGCGTCTCTGAGTCTGTGGCTGAGCTGCTCTGACCCCATGCTGCCACTGCCCCTGGGAGATGTCCTTTCTGAGTTTTGTAACTCAGACTGTTGTCCAAGGAGGGTTAGGAATGAAAAACACCACTTATTTGTGTTCCGGGATTATTCAGAAAAGGCAGGAAGCAGGGCCTGGTTCTTCCATTTCCCCACAATCTCAACAGGCTGATGGTCCCCCAGGGGGTTAAGACCCAGCTTCCAATACTCAGGCCTGGCCGGCAGGGCTCTTTGTGCTCCAAGCAGCTCAGAGAGGGAAAAGAGAGCCTGCCACTCACTGTGACACCACCCTCCACACGCTGACCTCGATGGAAGATCCCCCTTGGTGACTCTGAAAGGTGTCCCCTTCACCCTTGTGGAAATGGTGGCTTTTTCCAGGGCCCTTGTCCTTGCTCACTTATGCCTGACCTCTCAGGAGCCCATGGAGTTGCACCTTCTGCAGGATGAAGGAGCGCTCAGGGAGCCAGCAGTGCCATGGGGAATCTGAGCTTCTGACGAGGCAGATGGAGCCTGAGGATCAGCTGGTGAGTCGCATGAGAACCCCAGGCTTCTTCCTTTCCCTGAAACAGGCAAAGGGTCCAGGGAAGGGCTGCCTGAGGAAGCCTTCAAAGGCTCACTTCGAGGATGGAGTGTCAGTGCCCGAACACAGCAGAGAAACAGAACTCAGCCCACCCCATGGCACTTTGGCAAACGTGGCTGGAAGGCTGGCTGTGCATGGTCTGCTTGTGGTATCTGTGCAAAGGCTTGACTTCGCTCTCTCCAAACTGCGTTTCACTTTAAAGCTCTCTTCACGTTTTACAGAAATGTGAGTTTCTCCTCTTGAAGGCCTACTGTCATCCACAAAGCTCTTTTTTTGCGGAGACTCCACCTAACGTAAGTCCTATTACATGATTCTCATCCTTCGAGCATCTCTCTTATGTTAACTCATTCTAGAAATGTGGCGTGTGAGCCCCGCGGGCACATCTGTTTGCAGAGAGCGGAGAGTAGGCGGTTTAGCTGCAGACTCTGGAGGGACAGCACCTGGTTCAGGCTCCACCACCTGCGTATTGGCTCTGGGACGTGGACCAGTTGCTGCACCAGCCCTGAACCTCAGTTTCTCCTTCTCTGTCTTTCTCACACAGAGCATAGCGCTGAGAGCACAGACTCAGGAGACGAGCTGTGGGTTCCAGCCTAGCTTTCCGTTTTAGCTGTGACAACGTAACCTCTCCATCCCTCATTTTCCTCATCAGTAAAAGGGAGGTTATAATAATACCAGTCTCTTAGGGTTATGTTAATGTAGCGGCAGTGCTTAAAACAAAGATTGGCACACAGCCATAGCTGTTATTATCATTATTACCCTGGAAATAAAGACTTGTGTTGGCTCCATTCCAGTGACGATGGCTGTGCGACCTCACCACTTTGATGGCTTTGCTCGTAGATCCGAGACTATGGCGAGCCCTTTAAGGAAGCCATGTGGTTGAACCTGGTTAAGGAAAGGCTGGCTGAGAAAGTGTATACAGTGGCCTGGTTCCTGCGGGACATGCGCCTGATCTTCCGCAACCATCAAGCATTTTACAAGGTAAAGAACATTTCTTGCTTCTTTTTCATTCTTTCTACTTTCCCCTCATTTCTGGGACAGCAGAGCTTTGCAAGAATTGTACCCAGTCCCACAGTGGGGAGAGCTCAGAAAGACAGGGATTGCAGGAGGAAACTGCCTCCAACTCCCAGAGGTGGAGAGGACGATGTGAAAAAGAACAGCCAGCAGGACAGGGAAGGATCCTTGGAAATGGTACCTGAAAAAAATCCATCCTCAGTCCCAGAGGGACAGGCTCCTCCCACCAAGAACAATTAATTTCGTCCTGCCTTTTTGCTCGAACTTGGAGGAAAGAGCTTTAATGCTTATGTGGTCCTTCAAGCCTTAGAAACACAGAAATAAGTAAGCGAATTAATTAAAATGAAATAAGTTAAACTTTCAGGATGCTCATGCTTAGATTCTTTTACTCCTAAATTTCCCGGTGGACTCAGACACGCGGATTTGCCCTCAGCTCGTGTAATTGGTTGAGCTGGCTTGCAACCCAAGGCATTCTTAACTTCACTGTATTGAGTTTATCCTGATTTTCGCTCTCACCTGTACAGGTATTTCTTGGGCAATATCTAAGGTGGATTCTCATTTCCACCCAGCCTCCTTCCCTTCCTGCATGCCACGAGCTGGCATGTTCATGAGCCACGGACTGTGAGCTGGAGTCCACACGTGGAGCTTGAGGGGGACACAGTCAATGCAGGGAGCCCCTCGATGGGTGCCTGGCACAGTCTTAGCCTTGTTGGATGGAAGGGTCATCCTTCCATCAAAGAGTGGGCTTTCAAGAAAAGCTTTATCATCATCTGTTTTGCACCAGGCTCAGGTTTTGCAGGGGCCACAATCAGCATTTTGGTCCAGACCGCCTGTCAGGTCTAAGTTTACCAGGCAGAGGCTCGTGCATTTGAATATTTGAGCAGGAGCATCTCCCCGCCCATCCTGCCTGACTGCTGAGGGGAAGCATAGCATTGAGGAGAGGGAAGGCAGGGCTCCTAAAAAAGCAAGAGTGATAGGATGAACCTAATCCTTGGTCCTTAGACCTCTGTGTGTTTGCTTTTTTCTCTCTCAGGCTTCCGACTTTGGTCAAGTGGGATTGGATTTAGAGGCAGAATTTGAAAAGGACCTCAAAGAAGTGCTTGTTTTTCATAAAGCCAATGAGAACAGCTTCCAGGCTCCACCTTGATCCTGTTCTGGAAAGACAAAGGTACCCCAATTTCAGGATCCAGATGATGTGGCCCTGGCTGTTCTTAGATTGCCAACGAGTCTGGGATGTTACTGGCTGCACTCTTGACTCAAATCCAGGCCCTTCACAGCATGAGTACACCCTCCACCTCCTTTTATTGTTTCTTTTTATGTTTCACACCTGAAAAAATTGAATATTTCCTTAATGCCGTGAAATACCCATCACAGTTCACATTCGCCCCATTGTCTCATAAATCCTTTTACAGTTGATCAGTTTGAATTAGGATCCAAACAAATTCCACGCACTGCATTTGGCTGATCTGTCTCTCAAGGCTCTTTTCTCTGTGGGTTCCCCACTGCCTTTTCTCTTTCCTATCAACTCATTGGAGAACCTGGGGACTTCATCCTATAAAGTTGTTCATTTTCTGGATTTTTCTGCATCCCCTGAGTGGCCTGTTCCTTTCTCCCTGACATCTCTGTAAGCTCGAAGTCAGAGCTACAGGCTTGCTTAGATTTGATTCCTTGGGGGCAGGGAATATTTTGGTTGTTTCTTTAGTAAACAGACTTCACAGGGAGATTTGTGTCTTCGTCTGTCATGTTAAGATCAGTCAGCATGTTCAGGTGTTACCAGCCCGACCCATCATTCTATCACCCTTTCACCTAATGATTTTGTCAGCCACTGATGCTCATTGCCTCAACCCATTTCGTTGGGGTTTGCAAAATGATGATATTCAGATGCTGTTATTCCTTCTATATTTATTAGTCAGAATTCTTCGGCAAAGAGCTTCCCTTCCACAATATTTGGTTATCTTGAAATACAGTTTGTATAGGAAATGCAGGATAAATGCTAGATTCTTTATTTAAAGTGTTCAAATCAATGAGTTGTTTCCCTAATAGCCTCTAAAGATAAGCAGGGAGGGTTTCTTTTTCCTTTAAAGTATCTTGAACTCATGGATTTAAATATATTTAATGTGTTCCAAACCATTGCAGTTAATGTCTTTATTGCTGCTCAAATCACCCATCTTCAGTGAGTGAGACTCTTTTCAAGTTGGCTCCTGAGTCATTCTGAAATGACCCCAGAGCTCTTTGGTAGAGTATCAGCTCTTTCTTTCTGTATAACAAATGACCCCAAAGTTTAGCGGCCTAGAAGAACAATCATTTTCCTGCTCACTAATCTGTAGGGCAGAATTCAGGCAGTGGTCCGTGTGGATACCTTATCTTTGCTCCACACAGTATTGACTAAGCCCTTTCGTGCTTGCTTGCACAGTGTCACTTCCGCCACATACTATCAGTCCAAGCAAACCACTGGACCAAATTCAAAAGGAGGGGAAATAGGCTGTACCTCTTCGTGGGATGAATGACAAAGTCACATTTCAAAGGGAATGTGGCTTGGGAAGAAATGTTGCCACTGTCTTCAGAAACACTCTACCATAGTTCACAGCAAGTCACATCCTTGCTACAAGCAAAGGACATTCCCTCCCACCCCTGCCCCAAGGAGCCTCATTCTTTGCAGCATTGGGTCAAAGCCCAGGACCTCATTGTCTAAATCAGGTTCAGATCTGATAAAGTTTCCTTGGCTGTGGTTCATTGGATGTGGCTCTGCATGCTGGTACCCATCCTCTGGAACCAAAGACTTGTGAATTGAAGAACAAGTTAGTCTCTCCACTTTCCAAATCTAATGATGAAACAGCGACAGAATAACCACTGTGGACACTTGCATTCAAACGGGGAAATGGGTAGCAAATAGCCGTCACTAGTCCATAAGCAATTCAGAAATCCAATCAAGTGCCTCAATCCCAGGACACAGAATATTCCTTGAGAATCCTATGGTCTATAAATATTATATCCCTCTAATTCTTATCCATCACCGAGGGCTTCTTCCATGTCTTCCTCCAGGCCCTATTTGTGTCTCTTTTCTCCCCAGGATATTCACTCACTTGCTCAGCTCTAAACTACAACGATAATAGTTTTGGAATCTCTAATTCATACCACCATAAAAAAACTAAATTAAATTCTAAATTTGTGTGAAATTTATTTTTGTTTCTGTTATATATTTAATATACCATCGCAGAGGGAATTTTCAGGATTTTGCGTGTGTATTTATAAATGAGATTAGTCTGTTAAGTTTCATATATTGCCATAGTCAGATTTAGAGTTTTCCTAGCTTGGCAAAATAATTTGTAAAATTTTATACCTCTTTATATGTTCTGGAATAGTTTGTAGCATTTTTAATTAACCAACTCATAAAATGATACAGCCTGGAGGACTTTCCCCTATTACTTTGGGGAAGTAATACTGATCACATTCTCTGCTGTTTTGTGGTGATTAGACTCTTTGGATATTCTGTTGCTTTTTGAATCAGTTCCACTTTTATCTTTTCTAAGAAGCCATCCACGGCATTTATAGCTGGTCTTATTTCTGTCATATTATTTTATTCTTTCTCTTTGAAAATGTTAGTATTTTTTGTCAACAGTTTGTTTTCATCTTCTATCCTGAAAGGCATTATGACGGTTTTTTCTAATATTTACCTGCAAGTTTTCCAACTATATTTCTAACTTATTTTTAAGTGTCAGAACCAAAAATTAAATATCTTTTATATGCTACATATTTAAGCCAAGATGTTTGTCATTTTTAAACCTCTCAGCCCTAATTCCTTTCTATCCACTGTTTAATAATATGGATATTCATTATCATTATTAAATTTTTTGTCTTTTACTCTATATTAATTATTTTAAAGTATTCAATTATGTCATTATCTTGTTATTTTTACATTATATAAATTATTTGTCATGTCAAATATCATTGAACATAATTGAAAAGCAAACATTAAAAATTTGTATTAATGTTCATCCATATTCATGAGAGTAATACTAATGTGCTTCTGTTCTCACTATTTTAGTTTCCCCACTGGTCTTTTCTTGCCATGACTCCTCCATACCTCTTTTTTTGCACCACCTTTCTATCGACTGAAGTATATCTTTGAGTAATTGTAAAAGAGGAGTACATGGGTGGTATGTTTTCTGAGTCTTGGCATATCTCAGAATGTCTTCTGTTGTTTTCATTAATTAACAACATATTGGGAGGGACGGTATAGCCCAGTGGTAGAGTGTATGCCTAGCGTGCATGAGATCCCGGGTTCAATCCCCAGTGCCTCCATTAAAATAAATTAATAAACCTAATTGCCTCCCCCCCAAAACAAACAAAAATAAAACCAAAAACATATTATGCTAATATATATATTTTATCACAACATCTCACCTTCAAAATTGACTTAGACTTTATTCCACTGTCTTTGAGCATTTTGTTCCACACCTCAGAAGTCTGAGTTCACCCAGAATTCTGCTTCCTTGTTAGTGTGTGGACACATATGAAATTCTCCATTTACGTCTATAATTATGTGTTTAGTTATTTTTGACAGGATACAATTCAATGTAATATTTTTATCATTGATCTTTCCTGGCACACTGAGCCCTTTCAGTGTCCATACCTGGTTCTATTTTCAGCTCCATTAAATATTTCTGATTTATTTGTTCTGAGCTTACTTTCAAGAACATCTATTGTCCATATGCTGGCTACCTGTTCTCTGTGTTCCCTATTTATTACTAAAAAAAGAAGAAGAAATTTCAGAAAGCACGCTTCCTCTTAGGTCGTTAGTGTGAGAATTAAACAACTAACTTTAAATAATTACAATCCTATGGTCAATGTTTTAATCCTAATGATTTTAGCATTTTAGTAATGCTAATTGCTATCTACTAAACAAACCTCAAAGGATATAAATTTTTCTCACCACAACACTTTTTTTCTCTCAAGACAAAAACAGAAAGTCATTGCAAATTACAAAATTGTTCTGATCTGTCTCCACCCAAGTTGTCCAGAACTGTGAGAAATAAATGTCTATTGTTGAAGCCACTGAGTCTGGGATTTTGTCAGGCAGCACAAACTGACTAATACAGAGTGAGTAGCATCATCAGACTTCCCATCCTCTCGCCCATAGCCAGGCAGAGACTGTTCAGCAGGATCTCCCAGGGTCCCAGTGTGGAACTGGGAGAAGCATGTGTTGGAGTTTCCATTTAGGTATCTGGGGTCACAGACTAACAAACAGAGAATGCATAGAGGTCCCTTTAGTTCCTGTTTCCTAGCGCTGCCACAATAGTGTGAACTGTGACGTGAACTGATTTCACCGATGAGCCAGAAAGGGATGGAGGCAGTTCAAGCACTTAAGAAAAGCACGTAATGAAATTGAATTCCTTTTGTTATATGGGAAGATGACAAATACGGCCGTAAAAACTGCCACTCCTGGTGCTATTCTGGGAGAGAATGGTGGCTCCTAAGGATGATAATTCCATAGGTAGAGGCTGCAGACTTCCAAATCCTTCTGAGGGGGAGCACTAACGCTTTTTCTTTCTAGCATAATCTCACTGCATTGTGATAAAAGGCCCTGCTCCTCACTGGCTTCCCAGTGGGCAGGGTTGCTGTGCTTTAAATTATCTTGCATCCATTTGTGACCCTGTCTTTCGTTCTGGCACTGATAAGCTGAATCAGGTCTGTGTGTGTGTGTGTGTGTGTGTGTCTTATCAAAGCTCTGGGTTGCTCTATTATGGGGAGAAAAACAAAATAAAACACTGAAGAGCCATTTTTTCTTTCAGGTTGAAAGTTTCAACCACTGTCAGTTTGGTTGCCATGACAACCAAGACCCCCATCCCTGGAACCATCTCTCCCTTTGGCTGCCTTTTGTTGCTGCACTGCTTCCTACAAGAGCGGAGTTTGGTTTATTCTGCTTAGCTCAGCTGGTCCTTAGCTTCCCCCTCCATCCTGTCCTTCTGAGCTGCAGGGTCAGGCCCACCCTTTTTTGGTCTCCCACTGAACAGGCCCACTGAGTTACAGCATCAACTTCCTGAAACCAGTGTCAGCGACGCCCCTACAGACAATGCCGATTGTGTCTCCCCAGGGACCCCTTCTAATCCTGTGCCCAGGCTATTTCTCCCTTCCTGGTCCAGCTTGGTCCCTTCCTCATTGGCTAGAGCTGCTGAGAGCCTGGGTCAACTCAGGACTGCCTCCACCCAAGTTGTGACACAGGAGGTTATAAATGACTCTCAAGTGGTTCCCTGAAGCTGGGCAGAGCTAAAGCTGCAAAATGGGATAAAGAAAAGCTTTCTATTGAGAACTTATCAGGAGGGATTATATATACATATAGCCACCCATCTAGCTGATACCAGAAATTCAACCTTGGAAAATCATTCTTGGGAGCTGGGAAGTCACGGTCTCCTGGTCGCACACACCTGCCCTCGGGAGAGGTGGGCTTAGCTGACAATCAGCGTCTGGGCTGGGCCTTTCTCAGATGCTTTCCAAGCTTCTACAGAGCCAGGCCCTGCCAAGCAAGCTCACCTTCCGCAGGTGGCTGTGGAGTCTGCCTCTGCTGGCCTGGTCAGTCCTGCTGGGCACCTTGGCCTCTCTTCTTCCCTCCCCACACCCTGAGATCCCTGACTGCTTCTCTTCCCTCCTAAAGGTGCTTCCACTCCGTCCCGTGGAATCCCTCTCCGCTTGGAACTGGGTATGTGAGCTACAGGATTCCCAGTTCTCCCATCTGTCGTAGTCCCTGAAAAACAGAAAAGCACAGACTCTATTTCCTTTACCACTGGGGCTGGGGGTGAAACTTGAGATAATGAAATCCAAGAAGCCATTGACTTACTCCCTTTTCCCCTGGTCTTGAGACCACTTCATCTCCCGAGCCATCTAGAAAAGGGCTCAGTGAGGCCTGCCCAGCCTGGACTCCTTGGGCTGTGTGCCAACAGGCATCCAGCTTGGACAAGAACAGAGGTAGGACGCATTGGCACTGGGGACATTGTGACCCACGAGCTGTCGCTAGCATCTGATTATTCACAGAGTTTGAGCAGACCCTGTGGGAACTCTCTCCTCCATCATCCAGAAGTGACCCTTCTGGAGGCCAATTTGCCAGAAAGCATCATGGAGCCTCAGACAAGAACTCAGCAGTAAGGACAATGACCAGACCAGGGCCAGAGGATCAGAGGAAGGGGCAGCTGCATGTCCAGAATGTCACCTGATACAGGACTCACCTGTCCCGCCGCCCTCGGGCAGTACCTGTTTAATGTGGAGTGAAGACTTGACACACCGAATGCTGTAGCATCTAGGGGTGGGGTAAGGCAGAAACATCCTTATTTCACAAGGGCGACGGTGAGGTTTCTAACTTCAGGCGCAATGACAGTTCCCCAGGCTCGGCAGCCTGGGCAGAGGCAGGCATCCAGGCGCTGTGGCTGCAGCGTTCAGATCCAGGGCTGCAACAGTGCCCAGCTGTCAAGGCGCAGGCTGTCTGGATTTCTGCGGCAAAGGGACAATGCTGCCCAACCACAGAGGCCAGTGTCAACCCCCTCCAGAGACGCTAGGTAGTAAAACTCCCACGGGAACTAGGAACAGGGAGAAGGAACGAGTGAGGGCTTTTCAGGGGGCAAAGGTGCTCTCAAAGGCTCTGTAATTGACCATTCAGTAACAGGAGAGCCAACCAAGGACGTGTGCCAGATCCCCCCCAGATTAGGCGAGCTAAGAATGACCAGCAGGACAGTCAGGGTTAGGCGTACACTTGTACCGCTGACATTCAAGTGAGGATTTCCTTACCATGACAAGAGGTCCCTTCTGTTCTTTGCCGCAAGCTTCCAACCTCACAGCTAGCAAAATGTAACGACGGAGATGTGGTAAACAACATGGGCTGGAAAGAGTGCCAGGCAGTCTAGCTTTTCATTTAAACAGGCTGGGGCCTGGTGGTAGGCCCACCTCGGAGATGACCAACGGCATCCTCAGACCTAAACTCTAGCATCTCCCATTTGCAAGAATGCCCCTGGAAATCTGCTCTCCAGGACACTGACGGGTGAGAGTCTGGTGAGGAAGCCACACCCGTAGAGGGGTCTTTGGTCCCAATAAAGTAAATTTGACCAGATGGTGCTTGGAGAGGAGTTCCCTGAGATGGCTGTACATCTGACAACTTCCCATGGAAAGCATCCATGGACCTCTGCTCCAGAGTCACCAAGGAGCTTGTGAAGATGCAGATTCCGAGGTCCCCAGCCCTGAAGGAGAATCTCTACTTTTTTTCCTTTTTGAATCTTTACAATTGATGCCCAGGAAGTGGTGTTTTTAACAAGTTTTCTAAATTCTTTTATTTTTTTTGCCCCAATTATGTTTGGCATCCATTGCCCTAAGATAAGACTGGTCTTTATCTTTCAAGAGAGGAACAAATCTAACTGATGTATGGGTGATGCTGGCAGCAGTGGAGCCTGCAACTCCACAGCGAGAGCTGGCCCAGCCATGTGTGTGTGTGGTTGGGTTGATTTTGTGGTTTTTTTGTTTAATTTGAACGTTTTTAGTTTAGTTAAGTATAATCGGTTCTCAGAAACAGTAATAAGAAAAGAATGAAAGCATTGGCAGAAGGAAAAACTAAACCAGGAAGAGAAAACAGCTGTGAGTGAGAGGGAGGGAAAACTAAGAGAAAAGGCAGCCCAGCGGCCAGACTGGGGCCAGGAGGGAAGAGGGGCGCATGGGAGAGAGGGGGAAACTCTTTCTTGAGCAGCTGTCAACAGGACTTCGGGAAACTGGGTGAGTGGATCTTTAAGATGCTTTGCTGTGTAGGGGGTCAATCTCAAGAGACCTGAGATGTTTACAGTCACTCTGAAGCTTCTCTTGGATGTTGGGCTGCTGTTACAGTTGAATGGGAAATCACCCTGAGGTGGCTGCCAGGCACCCCCATTATATTTGGGCTACAGGCAGCTGTAAAAAGAGAGGAATACAGAATATTGACAAGTCCAGGGTAGAAATGCTTTGCAAGAGGGGCCCAGAGTTAAGGACCGGAGGCCCCAAGGAGGCACTGAAGCAGTGACATCTTGAAAGAAACAGTGAGAACGCCCACCATCTAGGGACCAGGTGAGGGGTGGGGACAAGAGGTGGCGGGTGGACTGGGGGCTGCCAATAGTTTAACCACCTGTTCCTTCTTAGTGCTTCAGTCCCCAGGGAGGGTACAGCTCAGTGGTGGGGTGACTGCTTAGCATGGACAAGGTCCTGGGTTCAATCGCCAGTACCTCCATTAAAAATGAATAAATAAATAAACCTAATTATCTCCCACTACCAAAAAAAAAACTACAAAGGATCAAATTCCCACTCCCCAGGCTTTTCAGGGGGTGTGTGGGGGTGGGGGAGAAGGCACACTGGAGAAGGTGAGGGGGAGATTGAGGAGGGGGGGAGGGGGAGTCCACTCTAGACTTCAGCTTCTGTCCTAAATTACCTAAAGTCAAAACACACCTTAACCCTGAAGAAATCATCTCCTGACACCAGCTCCTGATCCCCAGGGAGACTCATAGTTCTATTTAGCTGGCAGAGTCCTTCTCCTTAACTTTTTTCTCTCTAACCATTGAGCACGGTCTACGTGGGAGTCATTCTGGAGAATTCCTAAGCCTGGCTTGGGCTTGATTCTGCTAAAACGCCTGCCTTCAGCTCCAGAGGATAAAAGTTTTCTTTCACTGACAGATAACAGAGGGTGCCCAGCCCCAAGTGAATCATCCCAATTTCTCAGAAGGAGAGAAATGTCCTTTGATCCAACCGTGTATGCAGTGTCCCGCGCACAGCGGTGACTCAATAAAGCTCCATCATTGCTGTCCCTGCAATAAGCCAGAGTTCCTCGCCCTTGACCTGCGTGTCCCAGGTCCTCCCTCACCCCCTGCCCGTCACTGGCCTGTGGAGCTTCCCGCTTTGGCCCAGGCACAGTGAAATGACCAGTTTCTGTCGTGCTGGCCAGAATCCACTACCTCCACAGAGGTCAGGCAGGGGGACCCCCAAAGAGAACAGTGATCACGGCCCCAGCCCTGGGGTGGACGCCTTGGGACCGAGGGGAGCCGTGAGGCTGGGA